ATTACAAGGAAAGGGAATGAAAATATCCATCTACTAGATGGTTGAGAGTTTGTGCACCTGTCTGTCTGCCTCTCTGTCTGCGTGTGTGTGTCCGTCTGTCGGGTCCATTTGTTCAGGAGCTCCTCCTAAACAGTAAGAGACACGACCACCACGTTTGGTAGGCAGCTTCCTCTTATCATGAATTAAAGCAAGCTAAGGACAGTGGGATGTGCATGGAATGGGATTTGTTTCTCATCAACTGGAAAGGCAGGGTTGCGATAGCAGGAACAGGTCTACTCCCAAATTACCCCAGCAGGGCAGCAAGCATTGGGGGATAGTTTATACTCCTGAATGACCGCAGGGGGGAATCAAGCACCCCAGCCGGGGGGAGCTGCAGGTGGGCTGCATTGCTTTGCTTCCCACTCCCTGCACCCCAATTCCCTGCCCTGAGCCTCTCCTCCCCCCAACACTGACTCCCCAGACTCCTGCTCTGGGTCCTCCACATCTCCAGCCCCCTGCCCTGACTCCTGTACTCCACACACCTCTAGTCCCCTGCTCTGAAGGAACCAAGCAACACCAAGTGCATCTTCTAGCTTCTCTTATAAATGGAGTGTACATTAGGGAAATGTTTGAGCTGAGATGAATTTCAGCTTGTGCTGCTTTGTTGTTTTTTTCTTCCTACTGTGGGTTCCCTATGGGGAAAAAAAAGTTAGCAGAGGTCCATACTAGCTGTTAACCAGGGTTGCACCCAGGAGGCCTGTACATAGAGAGACTGCTGTGTAGTTTTTCTGCTTGTCTTGTTGTAGACTCCTGCCACATGTTAAACAATAAATAAGTCAAAAGCAGGAAAAATAGAGTAAATAAACTGAAAGATGGTTATGTGTAGAGATGTGCAAATAATAGGGTTGACTGGCTGAATTAAAAAAAAAACAGAATACATATTTTCAGGTCATTGACCAAAACACTCCATTTATTGTTTCATTTAGCTTTAGAGCTTTAAAAATAAATAAATAAAACCAAAGAAAATTTGGGGGAGGAGGAGAAATCATTTCAAATAAAAGAAAAGTTTTATACTGAAAAAGTCAAAAGGAAGCATGTCGGTTCTGGAATTTTTTAATGGCTCTTTGGATCAAAAGAATGCAATGAATTTTACACCAAATTTCAAAGAATTTCAATCAATGCAAATTTGCATTTTCAGTGGAAAAAAGAGTTTAATGAGAGTGAGAGAGAGCAAGAGAGAGAGAGAGAGAGAGAAGATCAGCTTCAAAATCTGGTTGAAGAAATTCTGACAAATCACGTATTTTTTTTAAAAGCAGGCTTGATATGGAAAGGTAACGGGGATGTCCTTGGTTCACTAAGGGCCATTCTGGTTTTTTTTTAAGTGCTGTACAAACGTGGATTGCTTCAGAACACTGGAGAACAGTGTGAATGGATGGCTAGGGTTGTACTGGGGAAGAAGCAGCCCTTAACTCTAGGTTGTTCTTAGCTTTCCATTATCCCATGGTGGAGGCTGGCAATCACCTAAAGCCTTGTTGCATTGAACATATGCAAGTAGCCACCCCTGTGGTTTCCATTGCAGAACAGGACCTCTAGGTCATGGGAAACTAAACGTTGTCCTTTTCTAATGCCCGGGTGCTAAGATTTGGAAGCCTCAGTCCAGTTTGCAGTGAACAAGTTTCCCTGTTTTGATTGCACGGAAACCAAGCTACTTTGTTGGCCTTCTCCATGGAGAAGGCCAAGGAATACAGGAGAATGGGGATCCAGTTTGCAGTGAACAAGTTTCCCTGTTTTGATTGCACGGAGACCCAGCTACTTTGGTGACCTTCTCCATGGAGAGGCCAAGGAATACAGGAGAATGGGGACAGAGAGCTAACACTCCTCTCATCTCTAGAAGAGAGCTGAAGGGAAATCTTCCAGTGTCTGTAAGAAACCTGTCATGGAGCTACACAGAGGTCTCCAGCCTCTAACAGTGGTTCAGCATATCTTTAAAATAAATACTAGAACCCTGATGGCCACTGTTTTAACACAGAGCATCCGTCCATCCATCCATCACAGAACTAGTCTACTTCTAATACATGGATTACCAGGCTCGCTAAATGCCCATGCAGAATAGTAAGTCAGCAGCAGCTCTTCAGTCTTCTCCCCAACCTTCTTCCCAGTATCCCTAATGCTTGCAGTGAGAGGGTAGAGATCAGTCTCCATACTTCTCTCTGGGTTTCTCTGCCAAGGCTGCCCACAGGAAAGCCAATTACCAGCTAACAATTTGAAATCCAATCTGAGCTGTTGCCTGTGCCTGGCTCCCATGTACACCGGCTCGTTGAATGGAGTGACTCTTATGTTCCGCCTCCTCACCGCTAAATGTCAGGATGGACTTTTTCTGTCCTCCTCGACTAAGGTCTTCTCTCTCTCTCTCGTTATTTGATAAAATATCAGGAAGACAGTGGAGAAGTAATTAAATTCAGTACCTGAGCAGAGAGTGAGGGAAGGCAGGAGAGAAGAGAAGGAGGAGGGTGAGTATGGAGAGGTTTTTGTGAATCACTTTCCTCCTCCATTTAGTTGAGGCCTGGTCTCAGATGACTAATGTAGAAGGAGAGGGCTATTTCTTTTAAATGAAAGACACTCTGCTTCCTGAATGTTGATATCTTGCCAGCAAGCTGCAGTCAAGGCTGACATTGTAAGGAATATTGAACAGCTCTCGATTGGAGAGTTATTTCGTATTCATCTTTGTCATTTATTTATTTATTGTGTTGCCTGCAACCTGTTTCCTTCCCCCCTCTTCTTTTTATTTCTCCTTTTACTAGACTTAGCCCACACTTTTTCTGCATTTTTTTCTTTTGTAAGAATAACAGTTTGTTCCACAACATGAACAAATCTAGTATTCATTTTTGAGTTCTCTACTTTTTTCCCTCCCTGTATATACATTGTTTTTGTGATACCTTTGATCTTTCTCTTATATTTTCCCCTTTTCTCTCTCTTTTTGTCATGTTGGTGACCACTATGCCAAACTGAGGGCCCAGGGAAATTGTGTCTTCTATATATCTCTAGACAACTAGGGCCAGATTCTCAGCTGCTCTCAATTGACATAGCTCCAAGAAAGAAGTCTCCACCAGAAGCCTTAGCCTCTTGATTCGGCCCAGGATATCAAAGTGAAAATTCCCAGTGGTCAGTTCACTCCTTGATTACTTCAGTGTCCATAGAATTATGGAATCAAAGAATACTAGAATTAGAAGGGACTTTGAGAGGTCATCAGGTCCAGTCCCCTGCTGCCCTCATGGCAGGACAAAGCACCATCTAGATAATCCCTGAGAGATGTTTGTCCAACCTGCTCTTAGTATCTCCAGTGATGGAGATTCCACAATTTCCCTAGACAATTTATTCCACTGTTTAACAACCCTGACAGTTAGGAAGTTTTTCCTAATATCCAACCTAAACCTCCCCTGCTGCAGTTTAAGCCCATTGCTTCTTGTTCTATCCTCAGAGGCCAAGGAGAACAATTTTCCCTCTCCTCCCCATGGTGCCCTTTTAGATACCTGAAAAACGCTATCAAGTCCTCTCTGTCTTCTCCTTTCCAAATTAAACATGCCCAATTCCCCCAGCCTTCCCTCATAGCTCATATTTTCTAGACCTTTAATCATTTTTGTTGCTCTTCTCTGGACCTTCTCCAATTTCTCCACATCTTTCTTGAAATGTGGCGCCCAGAATTGGACACAATACTCCAACTGAGGCCTAATCAGCACAGAGTAGAGCAGAAAAATGACTTATCATGTCTTACATTACAAGGAGTGTTGTGAGCATCCCAGAATCATGTTTGCTTTTTTTGCAACAGCGTCACACTGTTGACTCTTAGTTAGCTTGTGGTCCACTAGACCCCTAGATCCCTTTCTGCAGTACTCCTTCCTAGACAGTCACTTCCCATTCTGTATGTGTGAATGAATTGTTCCTTCCTGAGTACTTTGCATTTGTCCTTATGCCCCTTCATTCCTTCGTCTTACCCGATGAGCCTAGATGACATATTTTGAATATGGGGACTTCTGGAGGTGGATCTCTTTATCCCAGCCACAAAGAGGAATTGTTTTGTTGCTCCATGAAGGGCCAAGTCTTAAGTCTTTAGGAGATGACTTTCTTCTTCCTTGAACAAAGGGTCTGTGTTACATATTTCCCTAACACCTCATTCTAAGAGCAATGAAAAAGATCAGACAAGCCTAATGATTCTCCAGCTCAGGGCATAGTTCCTCAGTGGTACATGGGCGTAGAGTAGAGGTACAGCAGGAAGGAACCTATCCATGATACTTCAAACGCGGAATGGATTTAGCTGTTGATGTGAATTGCATTTGAATCTTCTTTAACGTTCACTTATCCTGGATTGCTTCCTACAACTGAAGAAAACTAGTTTAACAAGTAATTCAGTTAAGATTCATCTATGTGCAATATTGGTCTTCCTTTCTCTAGTGGAAGGGTTGACCATTATATGGTCTTCAATACATACATTCTCCAAACACTATACCATGCCTCTATATCTTGTTACATTCAGTCGCTTTACTTTTCTTTTGATAGGTTTAGTTTTTGTCATGCATGTTGTTTGAGTAGTGTCCTTGTTCCAAATTACTGTTAGCACAACAGTGTCTGTGGGCCCCCCAGTCAAGAATAAGGATCCAGTTGTACTAGGAGCTATATGCGCAAGTAACAAGCCTTTGGGCTGCACAGCTCATAATTTCAGTATTGTGACCTCTGGTCCAGGCCTTTTCATCTTACCTGCACCTTTCCTTATTTCCAGCAAGAAGTCCTGTGGCACCATATAGACTAACAGAAGTATAGGAGCATAAACTTTCGTGGGCAAAGACCCACTTCGTCAGATGCATGTAGTGGGTCTTTGCCCACGAAAGCTTATGCTCCTACACTTCAGTTAGTCTATAAGGTGCCACAGGACTCCTCACCGCTTTTCCAGATTCACACTAACACAGCTATCCCTCTGATACTTTCCTTATTTCCATTACTATAATTCTCATATTGTTTTGTTTCAGAGGCCTGAGCTGAGTCTTGAAGACAGTGACACAGGGATCAGCAGAAGCTGTGTGTTTGAGCCACAACAACTGTTCTAAGTTGATACAGATTGGCTACATATCCATTGGGAGAAGATGGCCCTCGCCTTGAAGATCTGCTGCTTCACTCTTACGCTGCTTCCTCTGGTATGGAATCCCAGGGACAATGCATGCATCTCTTTACAGTGGCATTCTGTGGGTGCATGGTTTTTAAATGCGTGGTGTGGGCCGTTGCAGACAGTGGGTGAGGGCTTTTCGGATTCCAGCTTAGCTACTAGTAAACCACTTTCAGTGCGTAGGACAGAGGGGGTAGAACAATGCTCACCACCATTTTTGTAAATGTGAAGGAGGCAGGATCATAAAGGAGCACTGTCAGGGTTCATTCAGCAGCCAAGATTGCCAAGAGGGACTTGTAATTTTGGAGGGGCTGCATTTTGGGGTGCCCGACGTAAAAAGGGGCCTGCTTGGTAGGCTTCACGGTGTGTCATGCTGGGTATCTCAACATGGTGGCCCTCAAAGGCACCAGTAGCTTTATTGAGACTCTGGAGCTAAATTCAAGAATTGAAGGTATCCCGAGATCCAGGGGTTTGGTAAGGATGTAGTGGTAGCAAGTTACTTTACAGCTATTGCTAACTGCTGCTTCCTGGGTTTCACTTCAGCTCTTTACTGCAGCCCAGGCCAAAGTAGGGACATCTAAGTATTTCTTAGAAAACATAACATAGACTGAGTCTCTGAAGGTATGTCTACACTGAGGTGCTATTTGGAGATACTTCCGGTGTCCCAAAATAGCTATTCCACATCTTTTGAACAAGCCCGTTATTTTGAAATATCTTTCGAAATAATGGGCGTGCTATTCTGATGTCCCTCTAAACTTCGTTCCATGAAGATGAAAGGACATTTCGGAATAGCGCTCTATTTCTAAATTTGGCTCTGTGTAGATAGCACCAAATTTCTAAATAAGCTATTTCAAAATACACTCAAAATAAGCTACGCAATTTGTATAGCTCAAATTATGTAGCTTATTTTGGGCTATGGGTTCGGTGTAGACTCACTATGACACACATTGGCTGTGTCTAGACTGGCAAGTTTTTCCACAAAATCATCTGATTTTGCGAAAAAACTTGCCAGCTGTCTACACCGGCCGCTTGAATTTCCGCAAGAACACTGACGATCTCATGTAAGATCGTCAGTGTTCTTGCGGAAATACTATGATGCTCCAGTTCGGACAAGTCTTTTTCCGAAAGACTTTTACGCAAAAGGGCCAGTGTAGACAGTGTAGTACTGTTTTCCACAAAAAAGCCCCGATCGCGAAAATGGCGATCGGTGCTTTTTTGCAGAAAACCGCGTCTAGATTGGCCACGGACGCTTTTCCGCAAAAAGTGCTTTTGTGGAAAAGCATCCTGCCAATCTAGATGTGCTTTTCTGAAAATGCTTTTAACGGAAAACTTTTCCGTTAAAAGCATTTCCGGAAAATCATGCCAGTGTAGACGTAGCTTTTGTGTTTAAATGCTGAAATCCAGTCTTATTAGCAGCTCCCAGTATATTTCAACAATTGCTTTGATATTTATATTTTCATGTACCCAGGCAATCTGAGCATTTAAAAAAGATACTTAAAATAATATATTAAACTATTATTAGATCCAAGTGTTTGACTACTTTTCCTATAGACATTCACACAGATTTTTGCTGCTATGCGATGGATTTATAACATCTGTGTCACAAGGTAAAGCACTGAGGGTAGCATTTATACTCCTTTATTTAAACGCATGTAGATGTACATTCTTTCTCCTCAAGTCTTCTTCAGAGATTGTTTTTACTGCTCTGGCTAAAATGTAGCATTTATTAGCTGGATTCTTCAGGTCAGAATTAGAACTGTAGCATACTTCAAAAATTGGCATAGTCAGCAAACACAAAAGTTTAACCTGTGAATTCTAGCTATGAGCCCTTCACTGTTGGTTAGTTTGTCTGGTCAGCTAAGAAGTCTTCCTTGTAGACCAAATGCTACAGTTTTGAAATCCAGATATGACAACCGTCATGTTCTCTTGGTTGATAGAATCATAGAATAATAGGACTGGAAGGGACCTCGAGAGGTCATCGAGTCCAGCCCCCCGCCCTCAAGGCAGGACCAAGCTCCGTCTACACCATCCCTGACAGATGTCTATCTAACCTGTTCTTAAATATCTCCAGAGAGGGAGATTCCACCACCTCCCTTGGCAATTTATTCCAATATTTGACCACCCTGACAGTTAGGAATGTTTTCCTAATGTCCAATCTAAACCTCCCCTGCTGCACTTTAAGCCCATTACTCCATGTCCTGTCCTCAGAAACCAAGAGGAACAAATTTTCTCCTTCCTCCTTGTGACACCCTTTTAGATATTTGAAAACCACTATCATGTCCCCCCTTAATCTTCTTTTTTCCAAACTAAACAAGCCCAGTTCATGAAGCCTGGCTTCATAGGCTTCTCTAGACCTTTAATCATTCTTGTCGCTCTTCTCTGTACCCTTTCCAATTTCTCCACATCTTTCTTGAAATGTGGCGCCCAGAACTGGACACAGTAGGAGCCATATGACTGTCTATGCCACACATAGACACTGCTCCTGCCCCCAGCACAATCCTTGCCGCTCTCATTGGCTGGGAACCCTGCTGGGTTGCAAGAGGAAAGTCCAAATCCTGCTTTCACATTAACAAGTACAACTCTCACTGAATTCAGTGTGCTGTGTGCAAGTATCTAAAGTCAATTTGGCTCAATGACTTTAAAGACTTACCAGAAATTATTTCTGATGCAGTAATATTTATAGTATAGATTCTTTAACTATGTAAAGAAATTTCAATGAGGTTCAAGAATAAGGCTCCCTTGGGTCATTAATGGTGCAGGCCAGTGTTTTTCAATTTCAGGCCTGTGGACCCATGTCGTCCACAGACTATGTCCATGAGGGTCTGTAAAAGGTCATTGTTGCCATAGAACAGTGATTTTTCAACTGTGATCTGTGGACAACATGGGGGTCCACAGAGTACATCTAAGATTTCCAAAGGGGTCTGACCTACATTTCAAATTTTTAGAGGTTAACAACAACTCTCTGACTATGGTTATCCAGCCAATTATGCACCCATCTTATTGTGGCCCTATCTAAGTTATATTTGCCTAGTTTATCAATAAGAATATCATGCGAGACCGTATCAAATGCCTTACTAAAGTCTAGGTATATGACATCCACCGCTTCTCCCTTATCCACAAGGCTCGTTATCTTATCAAAGAAAGCTATCAGATTAGTTTGGCATGACTTGTTCTTCACAAACCCATGCTGGCTATTCCCTATCACTTTATAAAGTGATATATTGATAAATTGACCTTTACCAGCAGAGCTTGCTGGGACTGCTCAGTGTTTCCCCTTCTCACTCTAAATTTCTGCTCTCTGAGCTCTCATTAACTCAGCTCTGAGGTTAATGTTGTGCGAGATATGTAGAGCTGCCTGCCTTTAATGCAGGTTTATATGCTGGCTTCCAGTAGAATCCAAGCCTGTTCTGTTCTATGATTCTATGATTATCTATCAGCTCTTTTTTTTCTGGATTCTCCTGTTCACTTGTCGCTTTGCTATTTTGCTTCTTCACAGATTGCGATAGGGCTCTTCCTCTTTCCCACTGCTGCTCTCTGGACTTAAAGCCAAAATGATCTGTTTGAAAATCAAGTGGATTATATGTGCAACATATATTTGTATTATAGCCCATGTAGCATTGTAACTGGGGAGAGAGAAGGCATTCCTTCACTGAATTCCTAAGATCAGCTTGGACACTGCGCTTAGACAACAGGAGTTGTTGGTAGTACAAGTTGTTTTCTCACATGAGCAGTAAGGTAAAGGTGACTAGTAAATATAAGATGTTAACACAACTAGATATGGGTCATGGTCCTTCAGGGATCTAGTATTCAGCTTCTTCTTATCCCCTTGGTTCAGCGGCAGGCAATAACCGGCCTGCAGGTTGGACGTGTTTCACCAGAGTTTGCCCCGGCAAGGCTGCCAGACACTTTATTTACTTGTGTCAGCAGGTATGGCTGCTCACAGCTCCTGTTGGCCACAGCTCATGTTCCCAGCTAATGGGAGCTGCGAGAAACAGTGACCTGGCCGGTGCCACTCCCCACAGTTCCCATTGGCCGGGAATGACAAAGGGTGGCCAATGGGAGCTGTGAACAACGGTACTTGTGGACACTCAGAAGACTCAGGTAAATAAAGCTTCTGGTGGCCCACTAGGGTATAACCCTGGTGAATACGTCTAGCCCACGGACCACCTATTGCCTAACCCTGCCTTAGTGTCCATGGGAATTCATATCTGGGTTTAAATTGAAACTGTCGGAGACAGGCATCATATGGTCAATCCTGGTTTCTGATCAAGGAAACTCCTGCCAGGGGCATCCATCAAATATTGGAACAACCTGTCTCACTTTCTGTTCCAATATAAATTAACTTGGATGCTACAAAGTCCAGCAGACCGTATATGAGCTAATATGTGGTGAAGGCTAGGACTTCAACAGAGTTCAAAAAAGAGCTAGATAGATTCATGGAGATTAGGTCCATCAGTGGCTGTTAGCCAGGATGGGTAGGAATGGTGTCCCTAGTCTCTGTTTGTCTGGAAATGGATATCAGGAGAGGGATCATGTGTGGATTGCCTATTGTGTTCCTTCCCTCTGGGGTATCTGGTATTGGCCACTGTTGGCAGATAGGATACTGGGCTAGATGGACCTTTGGTCTGACCCAGTATGGCCGTTCTTATGTTCCTAGAATCATAGAGCTGGAAGAGACCTCAGGAGGTCATCAAGTCCAGCTCCCTGCCCAAGGCAGGGCCAATCCCAACTAAATCAACCCAGGCAGGGCTTTGTCAAGCCGAGACTTAGCAACCTCTAGGGATGGAGATTCCACCACCTCCCTAGGGAACCCATTCCAGTGCTTCACCACCCTCCTAGTGAAATAGTTTTTCCTAATATCCAACCTAGACCTCCCCCACTGTAACTTGAGATCATTGCTCCTTGTTCTGCCATCTGTCACTACTGTGAACAGCCTTTCTCCATCAATCTCTTCCCTTCAGGATGTTGAAGGCTTCTATCAAATTCCCCCTCACTCTTCTCTTATGCAGACTAAACAAACCTAAATCCCTC